ATATTCAATATCTTATAGTAACCTACAATGGAAAAGAATATGAAAACAAACATATGTATGTATCATATGAAACACTGTGCTGTACACCGGAAATTGATACATTGTAAACTGACTATACTTCAATTAAAAAAATTTTTTTAAAGACAGGGTCAAAAGTGAATAGATACAGGTGGAAGAGGAACTTGGCTGGCAATTTGAGTTTCCTGCTCTGAAGCTCACAAGTCAGGCCAAGGAAGTTTTCACATAGCAGAGCCGCAGTTAAGTGAATCAATGCAAGCAGATGAGACTGCAGAGAATGAAGGAAAGAGAGAAGAGAGTATTCTTTTCCTACCAGGACTGTTAAAAGCAGTGGTGGCCGAAACACTGTACATCTGGTAGGATAGGTATGGAGTGGGTCACTTGTGACTTATGGAAAGAGCAGTTTCAGGTGAGTGGAAAAGCCAATTGAAAAGAGCTTTAAAAGAAGAAAAAGGGAGTTAACTCTTGCTTGAAATTCACCAGTACAAAGGAAAGATAACTGGACAAGTTATAGAATAGAGGAAGATTCTTTTTTTGGGGGGGCTAGGGTATTTATTCATTCATTCATTTATTTACTTATTTATTTATTTTAATGGCAGTACTGCAGAATGATAGAGGAAGATTCTTTTAGAGTAGGAAGTCATTCTGTTTTTAAGCAGTTACATTAGTGATGCAGTGGAGGTTGAGAATAAAGATCCCAGAGGGAAAGAGGAAGGAGTAATGAATAAAACCAGGTCCTCCAGCAAGAAGGACAAAGTCAGATAAAGAGCAGAAACTGAGAAGTGTGGAGACAGGAAAGGAGGGAGCAGAGAACTGCCCAGATGAGGAGGAGGGAAGAGAGAACTCCTGAGGAATCATTTCTGTCTCAGGCACCAACACGACAAGTTCTGGACATCATCTGCACTCATCTCTCTCCTTCATTCCTCAAACTCTAAAAGGGCTGCCAATTTTCCTCCTCTGAAATAATCTTTCAGATTTACCCCTTTTCTTTCTACCACTGACTCTGTTCGGTTCTATGTCTTAATTACTATTTCAACAGATTCCTACAGCCTAACATTGCCTCTACTCTCCCCCAGCCAAAGTTTTTCAAAGACAGATTTCATCATATCACTTCTCAGCTAAAATTCCTCAGTGGCTCCCAGTTCCTATCACATCAACACCAAATGCCATAGTCTGGATTTCTAGGCCCTATTACCTGAGGACACATATCCTACCCAGCAAGTACCTTCTGAAAATACTATGTTCATTTAATTCTCTTTATCCAAGGTACCCTTTTAAATCTAACCAAACCCAACCCAGTCAAGACCAAATGAAGTCCCACTTCTTCCTTGAAGCCTTGACCACTATAGGTTTCATTCATCTCTTCACTCAACTCGTTAACCATTTAAATATCCATAGCAGAGAATTAGAAATAGTCTGTGAGTATTTTCTAAATCTTCAGGATTGTACAATTGGGCTAGGGAAGGGTTAAATTTTCCTAACGCCAAGATATCTATTTTTAAATGGCAAAAAAAACAGTCTCTATTGAAACATCCATCCAATGGACAATACAGTGTCCGTCTCCACCTTATGAAGCACTAACTAGTATTACAATGCAAATCAATTACAAGATAAAACCTGCAAACAAATCTGGGGAAAAAATGCTGTGTTTCTTAAACTCAGCGTAGTTAATAAAGAACCACTCCAACCACTCCAATTTCAGGCAAGGAAAAGACGATCCAGGTCAACCAATAAACAAGTGACAACTAACAAGGGTAACAGGACAGGAGCTTCAAAGAGTGATGTGATGAACATCAAAGGATTAAGAAGCGTTAGTGAGTGACACAGTGGAGGGAGGGTAAAACAAGACTGGCAAAATATCAGTAATTCTTAAAGCTAGGTGAGGAGTACAAGGAATTTCTATTTTCTCTTCTTTGGTATACACTTGAAATTGTCCATAGTGGGTATTTTTTAAAAGAGAACCTTAATAAAACTGATTAAGTTCTTAATTTTTACAAAACTATTCTACTTGGGACTGACGATGGGAAAATGAGTCAAAACAAAGTACATCATCTCCCTACTGTACAATTCTGCTGCACAAAGTTTTTAAAAATTGATTTGATTCTTGCCTTGTAACAGATAGTTGCCATCATAATCAAAATTTTGATAAAGGTTTAAAACATGTTCGTAACTCTTATTTTTACTTTTCAATACAGAATCCTAAATAAACCTTTTTCTCCCTATTTACTTATGAAATTTTAGTCCCCTTTTTAGTTACCTTCTTTAGATAAAAAGGATCACCGGCATAACATGTACGTCAAACCATCCCAGAGGCTGGCTACATCCCAAGAACTTCGAGGATTCCCAAATTCATGAATACCGCCACAGCATAAATTATTTCTATTTACACTTATCTCCATAAAAATATCTAAGTGAGGAAGAGTAGAAAACAAACAACAGCTGCCAATCAGCCTAGTGAGAAACCCAGGAGTTACTTTAGGCCCAGGCAAGTGTCGGAGACCTTCAAAAGTCACTAAAGAAATCCAGCAGTACTCACGTGATTCTGTGGTTTCAAGGGTTTCAGTCTTGTCTCCCAACAATCTCAAGCACCTTTAAGGTTGATCTCTGTCTACTCTACATCTGTTTTTACTACTAGGCCATGAAAACCCAATGAGACAATACAGACCAAAGCACTTAATAAACTGTAAGTTATTGCCGGTTTTACTTGGAGCTCTGGGGACCAACATTCCTTGAAGATTTTATCAAGCACTTACAATGTACAAAGCACTGTATATGCACGTTGGCAGAAATTAAACATTACCAACCCTGTTAAACATAAAAGCACCAGGTCAGGATTTCTAACTATAATGACAACCATTTCTGTATGCAGAGAAAATAATAGGAGAGCACATGACGGTAAACCGAAGAGGCTGCTCGTTTATGACAGGAGGCAAACAGACTGCTGAGAGCTAGAAGTACAAGACGACCGGCAGTATGATGTCAAATTATGCGTCCTTCTCTAATTCCAGACAGGGGGCTTGAAACTCTTAATAATTACTCTCACTCTCCCCAAGAGAATCTTATTCTATCACAATATTACAGACAGAAAAAAAGGCAAGTAGCATTTGCTAAAGATTTTCTAAAGTTTCTAGCCCTGAGCATAGAATCTAATACAGAGTAAGTGCTCTCTATACCTGCTGCATCAACGAATCCATTGTGAACAGTCTGAATACATCAATGGTGTGTAACTATATAGAATTATTTTTAATTACACCTTTCCCAAGCTCATTGTTCTGCTAAATTTGCATTTTGAGATTGACCTCACTTATTTAAATCCTCAGTTAAAAAATATCAAAGGCGAAAATCAAAGCAATAGATTTCATCCACAAGGAAAGGTTTAAAAGAATAAAAGTACTTGTTTTAAGCTCTAGGCTTTAAGCAATTTAAATTTGCTGCCTGAAAAAAAATTTTCTACATTTATACAAGTTTGTTAACTCCCATTTCAGATGCGTAACATACTTTCCAAAGGCTCCAGTATTTTCAGTATTTTTGATTGTTTTTAACAGAAACCAATTCTCCACTGACATCTCTTTGGTAAGAACCAGTCAGATTTATATTTAGATGTCTGTACTCTTGAGAAACATCTATCTCCACCATCAGATCTAAGCTTTTATGTCAATACGAAGACAAAACTACATATGTGTAAAGTAAATTTCAATGTGAATGCAAGAAGAATTTGTCTGAGCTGCCAATAGGTTACCAGCCCAGCCTATCCATCCTAAAAAATACTGAGGATAATGCAGACTCAAGATAACTACCCAAACAAATTTTTAAAATCTGGAACTGCCAAGCTAAGAAATCAAGGAGTACTAAAGCATATTTAAGATATGAATCAACAGAAACAAAAGCGACACACCCACATTCTCACTCTAACTTTAAAGAACAGCACAGCTATGGTAAAATGAATGTTTAATGTGCCCAAAAGGATCACCACACATCATAAATTTTTGCTTATTAAATCTTTACATAGTATTTCAGGAACATTTGTTGGGGGAGGAGAGAGGTGCTCTTGGTGACATTACAGGTGACCATGACTGTGTGTGGGCAAAAACAAAATCAGAATCAAATATTTAAAGCTGAAGGGAATCTTTTAACAATCAAGTCAGTTCAGATTTTAAAAGTGATTAAACTGAGGCTACGAGAAGTCAACTGGTCATTTACCTAACTAGGAACAGAAAAAATTCTACATAAGATCAAGTTTTTTTTAATTTTATCATTTACCACCCTCTAACAATAGTACGTAGCACTATCGAGTAACAAATTATCTTTTTTTTCCCATTTCTATACACATAAACACATACCACAAATATATATACACTGCAAAATTTAAAACTAGAAAAGGTTCAAGTGTCTTCTCTGATGGTGTCAGTTACCTACAGCTTAAGAGGCTGTACAACAGGTAGTTCAGAAAAATTAGCCTAATTTAAATTTTGACTGATGTCCATGAAGGGCTTCTCATGTTAGCTACTTTGAATGTGTATCCAAAATGCACCTCAACCTGCAGCAAGTCACTCTATCAACTAAAAATATAAGCCATGCCTTACGCAGAAACAGGACTCCGGGTAATTAATTGGTTCACCTATACTCATAACACTAGCAAGCCAAAGTCCACTTAAAAAAAAAAAGCTGAACAAATGTATACCTCCATCTTGAAAACTTAAATCTGAACTCAATCAAATGCCCCTAAAAGTTTAACTCTTAGCCAGTCCTCAATGGAGATTTAACCGGGAAAATCAGAACTCATACAACAGAGATAAATTTAAAAATCAAAGTAAAACTTCCCCAAAGAGCTTATCAACAACAATAGGCTTTCATCCGTGAACTGACAAGCAACCAAAACCCGATTAGTTATAATTGGCTTTTATAGTTTTCATAGTTTCCCTTTACGTTGCCTGTATATATACACTTATGTATATATTTAAGTTGTACCAAAAACTGCTTACAAATGGCAATTCCTGTGAAGTAGATGATGATGAAGTTCCAGGTAATTCTAGCATGTTTCCTAATGTACTGGTACTGGAGTCTGGATCATCCTGAAAAGATAAATTTATTGAGTTTAATTGCTCTTCTATGGTAACGTTTGTATCTCCTAGTGAAAAAGGGGCTGGGAGAAGGGCTGCTTTTTCTTTGCTGCCGTCCACTTCATTTCTTTGCTTATTTTTCTGTGTTTCAGTTTGAGGAGCTAATGGCAAGAATGGCGATTTGACTGCACCATGTCTACTCCCTGGTGTGCTGTCTTGTTCATTTCCCATGGCCACGTCTACACCATTCTCTGATTTAGGCTCATAATTGCAGGTGGCATTGGTCTGAGTTTCCTCAAAGATCTCCTCTATACTCTCATCCTCTGTGACTGGCTGTTCTGGGTCCATTTCAGAATCTACATCGTCCACACAAGTAAAATTCTCAAAGTGCAGAAAGCCATTCTTGACAGTCTTTGTTACTTTTACCTGGAGTTCAGGGGAGTTATTACAAGAGGGCTCCTGTTTCATAGCAAGTGCTGTTGGAACACCAGGACTCAAGGAAGTGCAAACAATTGGCGACTGAGCTGTTGAATCACTTTTTTCAGGGTCTTGAAAGGATTCTGATCCATCAGCAGACCCATTTAAATACTCTACATTGATCATGGAGGCCAAATCCTGTAGTCTCCGCAGTGGAATGTAACAAGATGGAGAATCTTGTCCATAAGCATTTTGGGATGTTCCACTGGCAGTCGATAACTGCATAGTACACCCATTAAGTGGCTCAGAAAAATTGGATTGACCATTACCGAAAGGGCTGTCCTTGTCTTCAGGGGCATCTAAATTCACTGGATTGGAAAAGGGCAGCAGACAATTTCTTCTAGATAGTTCACAGGTCTGATCCATCCTGGGCCAGCATCAACCTGGAATCCAAAAACACGGCAATTAATCTGAGTTAACAGGCCATTTGACTCCTATCTTCAAAATGGCAGCCACTTCAAGGCCTAGTGGCCTCGATGCCTTTCTGCTGCACTTCCATGGGCGGAAAAAGTTCCCCAGCTGACGATGGAAAAATGGCCTCGGTGAGCCTCCGCAAACTCCATCTTCCTGGAGCCGGGCAGATCTTGCCACATGGAAACAGCCCGTCCCTTTTTCCTGCACTGCAGACTGGTGGACAGTTGGGCTGGTCTAAAATTAAAATCCCTTTGGCAGTACAAATTTCCAAATCTCAAACAAGAATCGTCCTTCCCCTCCCCCGCTGGGGGTCCAGCGGCCAGATCTCTCCAATGGAGGGGGCTGTAGGGTTCGAGGGGGGGCTCCCGGACGCTGCACAAAAAGGTTACCCCCCCATCCTTCCTGGCTCGCTCGGGCGCAGCGGTCACAATAGGGCTGCACCCTGCGCCCCAGCCGGCGCCGGAGCCTTTGCAGCGGCCGTGTCCAGGCCGCAGGCGAGTCGGCCGAAGCGGGTACACCCGAAGCTCGCCTTCCTGACTGCAGGCCTGCTCGGTCCACGGCTGCAGGGCCCAGAGGCCGGAACGCGGCAGGGGGAGAAACGGAGGCAGCCGGCGAAGCCAAGTCAGGACAGCAGCAGCTGCTACAGCTTGACAAACATGGCTGCTGCCGACGCCGCCGCCGCCTGCCCGGGCCGCGCTCCTTCCCGCAGC